GCGCTCCTCCTGCAGCTTTGTTACAGCTTCCAGAAAGTCTGGGGGCTCTGGGGGGGGTTTGGCCGGTTTTTTTGTTTGTTTTTCCTCTGGGCTGCTGATCTCTGCTTTTCTGTCCCGATCCCTTCCCTTTCTCGCTCCGCTACCTGGCACCTAGCGTGCCTTTGTTTCTTCTAGCCTCAATTTTGTCCCGCTTTCACGAAGCTTCTGCAAACCAACTTGCAGTACGTATCTTAACGGGCTGGGGCTAGCAAAAAAAGAAACGCCTTTGGTAATTGCTCAGAGATCTTTTGAAATGCTACTATATGGTTTCTCTCTCTTCTAGATTATTTATGCAAACCTGAGGACAACATTTACAACATTGACTTCACCAGGTTTAAGATCCGGGACCTTGAAACTGGAACAGTGCTGTTTGAAATTGCAAAGCCATCTGCTTCAGGTACGTCGTGCTAACGTTGCAAGGAGGCCAGAGAGACTCGGAGAGCTGAGAAGTTGCAATGCAGGACCTGTGCAAACGAAGCAGAAAGGTCCTTCGATATGTCCTGGTGACTGAATTCCTCTCCTTTAAACATAGGACTGAGTTTACTTCTGCTGAGAAACTTTTTGTCATAAAAACGTGAAGTGATTCTTGTGAGATGGGGGAGTGTTATCAACTGCAAATCTTCCCTTGTTGGCTGGTTGTGGTGCAGAGTTTCTTTCATGTGCTTTGGCAGTTGCAAGGGGGGATATCCGGTGAGACTGAGGGCGGTTTCAGCTCCGGAGCCACCAAGGCTGCGCCAGCTGTCATAGCAGATCTTTTCTTTCTTGCTTAGTGCCAGCGTGAGTCTCAGACCAGTTATTAAAGACCTTTACGTTCAGTGCCTAAGCAACAGCCAGCTTGTCCTGCTACACCCGCTAGCCAGTATTACTTTGCATGTATGCTATTAGCAGAACAGTTCTGAGCTGATGTGTTTTCCAGAGCAAGACGAAGAGGATGAAGATGACAACAGTGAACTGGACGCTAGTGCAGGCCGCTTTGTTCGTTACCAGTTCACCCCAGCGTTTCTCCGTCTTCGGACTGTTGGTGCAACGTGAGTATGAGTTCACAGAAAGAAGGGAGAATCAGATGTTTACAAAGTGACGCTTGGCAGTTTATAACAAAACTGAGTCAAAGATTCTTGTGTAGCCTCGGGTCCAAGGCTCTGTTCTTCCCAATAGGAAGAGAGATGTTTCATCTTAGCTGTTTTTTCCTACTTCTTGCACACAGAGTGGAATTCACAGTGGGAGAAAAGCCAGTGTCAAACTTCAGAATGATTGAGAGACACTACTTCCGAGATCGCTTGCTGAAGAACTTTGACTTTGATTTTGGCTTCTGCATCCCCAGTAGCAGGAACACATGTGAACACATTTATGAATTCCCTCAGCTCTCAGAAGACCTTAGTAAGTATCTCCTTTCCCACACTGAGTTGTGTTTTTGTTTGTGTGTATGCATGTGCTCATTTTCTCCCTCTCTCTGCTTGTGAAAGAAGTTGTGACTGGGATGGGGGGACAGGAATAAACAGATACAGGTTCCTGGTTTAAGCTGCATATAATCTTGACTGAATTACAGATTTGTGCTGCAAATTCTCCTTCTTTGAAAAGGAAAGCCTAAGACAACCTGTGTTGTCAAGTCACAGGCTGCAAGAACTGATCGGAGTCACAGGGCTGACGTGCCTGATGCCTGACAGCGTAGCCCAGAAGATAACAAAACCCTGAAAAAGGGTTCTCTTGGTAGCCACGCATCTGTGTTCAGCACTTCCTTGTTTAGGGCTTGAGCCTCCTGCTTTGGAGCAGAACCGGCTCTTCTCCGAGGTGTGTTTTTGAGCCTACCAAGACCTCCGCAAGTATACCTTGCGCAGGGTGTGTTTGACCTCAGGGGGTGGATAGAGCAGGAGCACGTGGGCCCTTCTGTGGCCGCATAGGTGCGGGAGGAGGCACAGAGTTTGTACCCCGCCTGCGTACGTGTGGGGAGTGCCACCGCTTTTTATTTGCGGATTGCAACCTCTCTGCTTACAGACGGTGATTGCTGCTCTGCTCTAGCGGTGGCTCTGACAGTTTCTAAGGTCGTCTTGTGTGAGATGACTCCATCCCCCTTTGTTTGCTTTTGACAGCCCTTGTCCTGTGAATGGGAAGAATGGGAAGGGGCAGGCCAGAGCTTTTGAAGCGTGCGCAGCAGAGCAGTTTGCTTCTCTTACTTGGGTAGGGCAGAGCATCAGCCCGGGAAATCCAGCAGAGTGGCAGAGACCTTTTTACTGTGACTTCGTGCTGTCCGGTGGAGTGTGGCAGGCTTTTGAATGTAATTGAGCTTTCTCTTTCACAGTCCGTCTGATGGTCGAAAATCCATACGAGACCCGCTCAGACAGCTTTTACTTTGTGGACAACAAGTTGATTATGCACAACAAGGCCGACTATGCTTACAATGGAGGACAGTAATCATGCTGTGTCCGCTGGATGCTGTGCTGCCGTCAACCGTTCCAGATGTCCAGGAGTGGACTGGAGTTGCTGTCTCGTGCAATAAGGCTTCTTGCCAAACCTTTTCTCCTTGCATGAGGCTGAAAACATGAAGCAAAGACGACGGCTCATGACAGTAAAGGAAATCTCCCTGCAACACTTCTCTATCCGATGCTCAACGTATCCTGCCTCTCGTTCTCTATTTCTGGTTACCTGCTGGTACCTTGGTTAGGTCACGGATCGGAGGCACTGTTAGAAAACGATTGCCGTTACAGTCTTTATAGTTAGGTGGCACTTCTAGTGCTTCTGATGTTTCACCTGGTGGGTGACTATCCTCTTTCAAGAGGTCACATTGTTTGGGTAAGCTATTTCTTAGCAGGAAAATTTTCCCCCTTCAGTAGCCAGTGATGCCTGAAGAGCAGATCTCTTCTTCAGTTGGATAGATCATCTCTTTAGTGCACAGTGGTTTAGTTTGTAGCATGGCTGAGATTGCTTTTTAGGGTGCATCCCAATGTTCTCCAGTGGGAAAGATAAAATAAGAGACTAATTCAGCTTCTAAGCAGCGTAGGAATCATCCCTCTGCCTCCAGGGGCCTGAGCTGCCCCCGAGAACAGCTTAATCTGTATCTTGCCAGAGATTTCGCTAGAGATACGAGATAGGGAAAAAGGGGCTTTATCCAGGTTGGTCATTGAGTCAGTCTGATAGTATTTCTATTTGAGCTCTTGCGAGCAAATTGTTGAATTTTGGAGCTCAGGGGTCAACCTTAGAGCTGAAGTTAATCTCACCATTTACCATTTCTCCTGCTTCCCTTTGTGTAGGAATTTTGGCTCTTGCTACAGAATGTACTGCTTTTTAGATGGACAGCGCGTTGTCAGTCTAGCTGGGGTGAAGGGGAGATGTCAGTCTGGTGGGGCTTGGAGGAAAAAGGGAGAATGTGGAAAATCACTTGAAAAATGCGCAGGAAGCAGAGCTTCCTAGGCTTCAGTCCCTCGGTGCTTTTAAACCTGAATGATCTGTCGGAGGTGCTGGAAGGAGAGCCGGTGGTGTTACCGGCTCCTTTGCTTTGCTTCAGTTGAGGTATTAGTAGCTAAAAGCTTCCCCGGTCAGATCACTCAGTGTTAGGGAGTGGGATTCTTACAAAGTGAGAATTTCTATGATTCTCTCTTTAATTGTTGGAGTTCCCATCACTGCTTTGCCGACTTAGCTGCTTATTTATGGTTTAGGAAGTTGTGCTGCGTTAGTTGCTGCCGGACCGGAGGGTGTATTTCACAGCTGCCTTTGGGATCTGGCAATAGGAGGTAGCATCATGCAGTGGGAAGAGGAGACCCATGTCTTCCCTGCCGCCGTGCTGGAGCCCACCTCCTGACCGCGCAAAATCTCAGCTAACAAAAGCCTTTTCTGCCGGTTTTGCTAGCTCTCGAGACTGGCGTTTTTCCTGTCCCCAGCTGGGCTGATCAGTTGTATCTCTTGTACGTGGGAGTTAGGTTGCATCTAGACGAGAGACGTTTGGTCGTATTAGTTCTGCTTGTTCCTTGAGACAGTTGAAATCTAACTCCTTGGTGGATACAGTTGGTTACCTGTTGGCGTTAAGTAAGATTCAGCGTAGTTTATGTTTTAGCAGGATTAAACGAGGTGGGCATCACAGCCTGGAGCCTCTTAATGCGTGCGCAGCAATAGGAAACCACTGCCTTTGCCTTGCAGGTTGGTGACGTTAACTTTGGCGTAGAAGATCAGCTGGCATCGGGGTAAGCAGTGAGAGTATGTGGGGTGGCAGCCATGAAAGAATCTCCAGCTCTTGGGAAGATACGTAATTATGATTAACCACAACAAATGACCTGTTCTGGGTGGAGCATTAATCATGAGCAACCACAACAGATGTCTTGGGAATGCGGAGGGGCAAGGTCTGCGTGGTTGAAAGACGAAGAACAGTTCTGTTACCATCAGTCCCCTCCAGCATCTCCAAAGGCACTTAGGCAACCTTGTGTAGTGATTTCAGAATTAGTTAAAGCTGCTTGTAAGGTGGAGCTTGAGATGCCTCTTGCAGTGCTTGTCTTCAGAAGGCCTCGTGCCGTGCTGGTGAGGTGGGAAACGTTTGTTTTGATGGAAGAACAGGTAGTTACTTGCGACGAGGCAGAACTGCCTGGAAGTGTCCTGAAGTGTTCTGAGGTGCTCAGGACAGTGTCTGAAGGGCCTGCTAGTTATTCCCTGGGAAATTTTAGCATATTGAGCTGAATTTGTATGTAGTATAAATCCAGGTGCCTTTAAGTGTTACTTTTATCTCATTTTCTGTATGAAGCAACCTCTTGCTTTTCTTATGAGTGCGATGATTCCCATCTGTTTTCTATGTCACTGTGTAAAGGTTCTTAAAAGGAAGATAGACTGTTGCTAGAGCGAGCAGCAGAAATCACCGAGAGCCGTTTGTAGCGTGCAGCTCTGCAGGGTCGGGGTGTTTGCAGGGGTGTGGGTGCCATCTAGCCGCTGCTTTGCAGAACGCGACGGAGCAGGAGACCACTCTGCCAAACGTCAGAGATGAGGCGTTTGATGTTTATCAGAAAGTGGATTCCTGTCTTCAGTCATTCCCTCTGCCAGTAGTCATGAGAAAAAAGCATTGAAGCAGTTGCTTTCCCATTGGTGACTGTATCAGCTATTCAGCAATAAAAAAAGGAAAACTGGAGGAAAAGCGGAAGACTTGCAGGCAGCACTAGCACCCCTCAGTTTCTAGCTGAATTTGTTGGCTTTGCCAAATTAGAAGGTCTTTGCCCAAAAAGCATGCTGCAGAAAAAAAGTCCCTACAAAAGGGCAACCCAGCACTGAAAAAGTTGATTGTAATCCAAAAAGTCAGGGATTTCCAGACTCCTGTCCCCGCTTTGGCCGCTTCCCTCAGGCTCCTTTTCTCTTAGATGCCTTCTATAAAGTGTCTTCTCTTTGTGGCAGGGATGATGTCTTCGGTAAACATGGTTTAACAGAGCATCTTCCTTCTGGATTGTGTGCTCTGATGCTTTAATGATGGGTCAAAGCTGCTCATCCCGGTGAGCTAGGAAGATATTCCAGTGGGATCTCCTCCTCGTCAGGTGGATGGTCCGTCCTGGCCAGGTGCTGAACGCAAGGGAGATGCTTTCCGTGTCGGTTAAAGTTTGAGCAAGGGAAAAGGTATTGCAGACAGCTGCTCTCAGGTCGTGTGCTGACTTGGAAAGAGAAAAGAGTTGGGATCATACTGTGTTCTGCTATAACAAAAAAGGACCAAATCCACAAACTCATGTTAAAACTTTCCAGTATTTGTCCTCTTAGGACCGGGACCTCTTTTTCACATTTTTGAGGCGAGTGCTTTGGATCCATGCAAGCAAGCTTCCCGGACAGCGATTTGCGTGATTGACCGAGGAATACACGTTGCACCTTGTGAAGGACGGTCATCTCTTGCGGTATGGACTGGGTGCTGCTGTCCCTGTCCTCCGTTTTTGGTAGGAGGTGTCTTCCTTTGTGTGTTTTCTTTAGGATTTTCAATGTCTCTTGCTGCAGAGAAGCAGCAGCAGCCTCCTCTCTGGTGCTTCAGGATGTTTATTCCGCTTATCCAAGGGTTTAGGAAGAAAAAACCAAGTGTTTAGGAGGCAGAAAGGCGTGAGGAAGGTGGTGATGGTGAAGCAGTGAGGTCCGAATGTGGTAAGAACTTCTCAGCTCTGTTTCATTACATCCTCTTCAGCTGTTTCCCAGTGTTTGCCTTCTGCCCTGTTGCATCGAGCGACCAGGCCTCGTGCTGCCCCAGAGCATGGCCTGGTGTCGGGTGTAACCCTCGGACGCGAACGCTGCCATCTCCCCGGAGCTTTACGGTGAGGACAAGGCTAAGGGACGGATGCCTGGCAGAGTCATCACCTCTTCGTCTGCCGCAAAGGAAAAAACAAACACCAGCAAACGCCGTCTCCCTCCTCCTGGATCGCGGTGCCGTTACAGGACACGTATTTGTATCTCTCACAGCGTGGCCTTCGGGCTGCTGGCGCGTCGACCTCCTCCTCCCTGCCGTCCCCTCCGGGCGCTCCAGCCCACGCTGTCGGGGCCGTGGCAGCCGTGCTGGCCGTGCCCCTTCAGCCCCGGGCTGCCGGCGGTGCCCGAGTGACGATGTATTTGTACAAACGTTATTTTGTCACCAGCAACAGGAATAAAGAAACCTCCCGTTTTGGCACAGGCGCTGCCCGGTCTGGGGCGGGGTGGGGCGTGGCCGGGGCCGGC